CATCATTGCTGGTAAGAATAATCATATACTCTTGCAGCATAGTTATTATTATTTGTAGCTTTTGTTGCAGCAAAATGATGTTTCTAATCAGCACTGAAAACAACTGCTTACAATGAATCTTGCTATATGAGCACATATACCCCATTTTAACTTGACTTCTTTAACATTAGACCATTGTTTGTGTAAAACCCAAACCTGGAACATTTTTTCACTATTATAAAACAGTTTTTACAATGGACTTTTTAAATAGCAATATTGTCAAATGCTATATCCATGGTATGGAGCAGAAATAATGAGTACAAGTGCCGTACTGTCAAAGAAGGATTGACAGCTATTTTTGAAAATAACATAGCACTATCATTTATGTTATTTATGCTATTAATGCAGTTTGTTGAGACACAAGCTTGATTGCTCATTTCAGCTTTACTCCAATGATCTATCCTCCAGCATAACTTTTTAGCACTAGAAGGTAATTTAATATAATCCTCTAAACCATACAACTGCTTTTAAGGAATGTAAGGATGCTTGTAGATAGAGCTATAAGCTACATATGCTGTTGTGACAGCAGTAAGAATAATATTCTTAAGCCAGTTGCTTGAACATTAAACTAACTAAATGCAGCTGTGTGTATGTTAATATATAATTCTCTTTATGTTATACTCTTAGTCTCTCACTTTCTTTCTTGTGAATCTTTTATTACATGTATGCAAATATTGCTGTAGCAGACACAGTGTAAGCCTTGCTCCCCATCATATATAATAGTTATATAGCGGTGTATACCAATGGAAGTTGAGTTCAGCAGGATGCAACAACATTAGTCTACTCTCTAATTATTATACACTGCAGATTACTAAGTCTAAGTTTACATGGTGTAGATCCTTAGATCCATAAAGCACTAAGCATAGCATCCACTATTTAAGATTATAATATCTATGACCTCTAGCTCTCGTAGCTAGACCTATGCTATCGGGTCTATTCTTGTCATCAGTGTTCTTACTTTTAAGTGAAGCTCCACAAAAATTAACAATATTTTTTTCAGTGGCAAATTACCCTGTGATTGTTGTTTTCTTCTTCATTATTGTTTATCATATCCTCAAGGCAACAAACAAACTGAATAACATCACCTTATTGTATCATAAAACCTGCCAAGTTATCTTAAGTATTGGTAAAGTAAAGCATTCCAAGGAAGCCGAATCGATGGTGATTTTCTTGATACAGGTGATTATCCTTAGGCTCGTGAACCTCTCCTTGAACATATAAACTAATCATAGCTTTTATAATGCATCATTTTCTGTATTATAATACTCTTAGTATCTCACTTTCTTCTGTTTTTTTCTTTTACAGTGCTGTAACACATACATTCAAGTTCACGTTAGCTTATAATATAATTTTTTTCTTAAGTCTAATGTTTAATTTACATCATTAATATTAAAGTATAAACCATGCCTAAATAGTACAGGAAGCATAGTGTCTACAAAATAGATGAAATTACTGATGATGAAACAATTCTAATTAATTTTTAATTTAATTCTATAACTAATTCTAATATCCTGTTTACAAAGCAATATAATAGGGTACTTTTAATTTTATATAGTAGCATTCACTGCACTGTCTTGTACAAGCTCCTCTTTCATAACAGTAAGTTAAAACAGCACAATAGAGTCTACTTGGCCTACTTCACTCCTAAATTCATGTTATTTTGTACTTCTAGCTACTAAAGACTGAATACAGGGAACTGGCATTGCAATAATGTGAGCTTCTAAGCATATTCCATGTATATTTATGTTCTAAGTCTCTCACATTTAACATCATTTACTTTACCTTGCTGAGTTGCAGCTGGGGTAAAGTAAATGATGTCAAATTCCAAATGCAGCAAAACTTGGATTCTCAGTGCTCAGTATGGCGAGTATAGCGGAGAGAGGAGATCAATTGAATCTTATTGAAAAGGGAACAAGTTGAAGGAGAAAACTATTATCATAACAATACTGCATTTATATCACTTGTAGGTGACCTTGTCGATGCAGCTGAAACATTTCAAAAGGGAACAGAGGAATTGAAGCAGAAAAAGGATTTCTCCAATGATAAAGTATGAAACCCAACACACACTGAGCACCTTTGTTGCTGGCAACTTGTATATGTGACCTAGCAGGTGAAAATGGTCCGGTTGGTAGCATTGGTTGCTATTGTCATAAGAGACCATAAATATGTAACTGTGATGTTGTATCAAAACTTTGTACATAATATGATAATGTCGGGGTATCTAAATAATGAAACCATGATAACAATTGATATTTACACGTTTATGGTTGCTTATGTAAAAGGCAACCAATGCCGCCAACTGGACCATTTTTGCCTGCTATGTCATATATAGTCAGACCTCTGATGGATGTGGTTGAGCAACACTGGACAACATGTTGCAGGAAGGCAACTTTTGGCAACGACTTGCCTAGATGCTGGCAACAAAGTTGCTCAGTGCATGTTGGGCTTAATACAGAGTGATGTATTTGCATCCATGCATGCATGCATGCCATCATATGTCAGTGCCAAGACTGTCATTCTATATATGTTTAGCTTTGGCTAGTGGTAGTGATATGGGTTCCATTCGCGGTTGTTATTCTTCTGATGTTAGTTCTCATCATCATTGCTAGTAAGATTATCATATTCATGCAGCATAGTCTATGATATTATTTGTAGTTGCTGTTGCAGCAAAATGTTAATCAGCACTGTGTCATGAGTAGATGCACATACTCCAATTTAACTCCTTAACATCAGACCATTGTTTGTGTAAAACCAAAATATAGTAGACTACATTTTTAAAACTATTATGAAACAGTTTTAGAATTGATTTTATTTTTAATTATAGCAATATTGTTGAATGCTATCCATGCATGGCATGGAGCGGCAGAAATAATGAGCACTATTAAGTGCCATATCTCAGAGAATCAAGGACTGAGAGCTATTTTTTTTAAATAGCACTATCATTTATAGGAAGAACTTAGTCTATTTATGCTACCAATGCAGTTTCTTGAGAGACAACCTCATGGCTCATTTCAGCTTTACTCTAATTCTGATAATCTAATAATCCTCTAGCATAACTTTCAACACTAGAAGGTAACTTAATCCACTAGACCATACAATTGCTTTTTTAAACATGTGAGCATGTTTGTAGATAGAACTATTAGCTACATATGCTGTTGTGATAGTAGCAAAAATAATATTTTTAAGCCAGTTGCTTGAACATAAAACAAACTATGCATGCAGCTGTGTGCATATGTTTGTATAACCATAGATACTGTATGTAGTATCTATGGTATAACAGTCTCTTTATCATCATAGTCTCTCACTTTTTTTCTTGCAAATCTTTATTACATGTATATTATGATACAAACAGATCTAGTACTGTAGCAGACACATAGTCAGCTAGGCGGAGCCTGACCCTAGCAGACACATTGTAAGCATTGCTCTAGTGGTGCATACTAATGGAAGTTGAATTCAGCGGGATGCGAAAACATTAGTCTACTCTCTAGTTATTATACACTGCAGAATTACTAAGTCTAAGTTTACATGGTGTAGGTCCTTAGATCCATAAAGCACTAAGCATAGCAAGCTCTCGTAGCCAGACCCTCCTGAGCCAGACTCGGCGGAACAAAATAAATTCTAATTTTACTAGATACCGTATAGATCTATTGTCTTTTAAAAAGACAATATACGGTTAACAATTAATTAAAATAGCGTTATCACCTCCGCCTTCTTTCTGCCATCATCATTATCAGAGGACGCTAGCTTTAGTCAGCGCTGTAGTGTCTTGTTCAGAGCTCCTCTTTTACACCAGTAAGTTTTAACGGCAGATACTTGGCCTACTCCTGCGTTTATATGTGTGACTGTGCATATCTCCTACTTTTCTAGCTTACCTAAAAGGCTCTGATAATACCGGGAACTGACAGTGCTGAATAATGTAAGTTTCTACCTTATTCATAATGTTATCATTATTATTAATATTGATACTGCACATAATATATCATGTAGATCTGTGTGTATACTTTATTTCATATTTTTGGGGCTTAAAATCGAGTCAAAAGCTACCATGATTGAGAAATACAATGGAATCTAGTAATTAGTGTATTGCTTGTACTTAATTTGATTAGAAGTTACTATTATTGATACAAGTGATAGTATAGGGACAGGTGGAGGATTATGCCTACTCGTTGAATAGTTAATTACAACACCTACATTGTACATTTAAAGTATTATTATAATGGGCTGGCTTCACTGCACTATAGACTGTTAGTATTGTGAGTGCTAAAGTAAACAAAAAAATTATTATCATTATTATTGTTCTTAATTGTTATATCAAGTTGAATAATTGAAAAATAAGTGGTGGTATTTTGAGTTAATGGTGGCCTATTCATAATGTTACCTTTCTTTGTTGTTCATACCTTTTATTAATGTGTGGTCATTATCAGCGTCTGGTGACTATTTTTGTTTTGTAAACATGACTTGAACGAGCGTTAGCTAGTGCTTTAAACTAAAGCATTTTAGTCGTATGGATAAGAGTAGTTGGGGAATACTCATGGTATCCTGTGTAGTGTGTATGCTGTGAATGAGGAATGTCAGATTTTGTTTGTGATAGTTGAGGGAGAATTTTTGTAACATGATTCATAGTGTGTCATCACGGTTGCATATTGCTAATGATAGCGAGAAAACATAAAAGGGTAAAAACACATCATAAAATTGTAATACTCAGCACATGTATTGTACATGTACATGTATATGTATATACATTAACTTGATAATGCTTGGGGCAGGTTGAGAGCCTGTCTTGAATTGTTTGCACAACTTACAAATGATCTTTTGACTTTAATGAATCATTATAAAGTAGTGGTGGATTGTAGTAGCCAAACTATAACTTGGCTCTCTCACACACACACCTTCTCTCTCTCACTCACACACACCTCTCTCTCTCTCTCTCTTTGTTCTTTTTATTGTTATCATGATCTTTCCTCCATCCTTGAGATACAAGATTCAGAATACATTGATGTTGTACACACTTAAGAAATATTAACTGTCTAGTCTTGTGTCTATGAATTTTAATAATAATAGCATGTACATGCATGTTATAAGTTTTGTATTCAGGAATGAGTGTGTAGTTTTATAAGTGGATTATTATCTACAGGTGTGTATGTTAATTCCTAATTACTGTATGCCAATAGGTCTGGCACACAAGATCTACAAGACAAGGTGTCTGCAGTCAAGACACAGATGCAGCATAATTTAGACTCTGCTTTGAAGAGAGGGGATGAACTAGGTCACCTTCAAACGACAGCTGGTATGTAACTCGAGATTATAAATGGCTTCCTGACCTGTTTCCTTTCCTAATCTCTACCATACTATACAACTGTCTATGTCTTTTCTCTTATTATTAATTTCTGTCTCTCTCTCTCTCCCTCTCTCTCTCTCTCCCTCCCTCCCTCCCCCCTCTCTTTCTCTCTCTCCCTCCCTCCCCCTCTCTTTCTTACTCTCTCTTTCTCCCCCTCTCACTTCTTCTCTCTGTTACTTTTAGAAACTATTGATATTGAGTCGAAACACTTTCAGAAGACGAGTGTGAGAGTCAAGAGAAGGCAACAGTGTCAACACTGCAAGGTATAGTATATCCAGCCCACTGAATAATTAGTAATAATAATAATAATAATAATGTTTCCTTCCCTGTTGTTGCCTTTGTTTATGATAATAATAATAATAATAATGATGACGATAATAATATTAATGATACTATTATTAAGGCTTCAGATGTTGATTAGAAGTTCTAAAGAATTTTTATTTGATAATTGCCCTTGATAAACATAGTAATTATTGAGGTATTTTTATTTGATACAGCTGTGGTTGCTATTGGCCGGAATTGTTGGAATCATTCTCCTTGTTATTATTTTAATTGTCGGTAAGTTATTCTACTGAATGTTTTTCAAAATGACTACTACCGTCATGCATACATGTACATGTACATGTATTATTTACATGTACATCTATATGTATATGTATATGTACATGCATAGGCATGCACATTGAAGCTATTAAACAATTTTAATATGCATAACATGAGTCAACATGTACATGTACATGTAGTACTTTATACATGCACATGTATTTCATGTACATTGTATATTTTTAGCGCATCCAATAATGTTATAATTACTTGTACATGAACATTAAAAAAACAATGGATCAATGCATGCGTATCATCGTGTTAGCACTAGTGGGAATTTGATAAAGAATGCTTAGCTAATGAACCAGCCTGTTGCTTATTGTATTAGAGTCACCCCCACTACAGTTATTATAACTTTAATAATTGTGACCTGACATGTAACATGTGATTATGTATAGGACTTGGTACACAGTACATGTACATGTACATGTACATTGTTATATAAAGTTCATTTATCTTGAGTTTGATACATTCTTGTGAGTAGAAAATTTGAGCTGATTCCAATCAAAATTGGACTTTTTATGATTTTTAAAATTGCTAAAAAAATTGGGCCAAAGAACATCATAGTACAGAGTTTTTTAACCAAATTTTGTCAAAAATGGCTTGGAGAGAATTCCCTATTTTTATAGCTTTTTTGATAAATATACATGTACTTTAGTTGTTTAGAAAGTTTGAGCTCATTCTGATTGAAGTTGAATTTTTTTAATGAATTGTTAAAGTTGCTCCAAAATTGGTTCAAAGTCCATGTACTACAATATAGGGTCTTGGCATAGATATTAGAGTAAATGAAAGGGATAGGAAACCACCGTGAAATTTATGGGCATGTCATGCGTTGCCTAGCGACGTATGCAAGTTGTCGTTTTTCTTACCGGGAAACTAGGAAAATGGAGGACCATCACTGGACTTCTTGGCTTATAATTCGTGTCCGATATGGAGTACAGATCCAGTTCCAGGTCAGCTGCAAAGATCAAGATCATATCTATCCATTGATACCTGGTTCAGAAGGACTGCACTAATGGCCCGAATGAAATCCTATCTTGAACTCCTACTGTCAAGTTGTCCAAACTGCCAATTTTGTTTTGTACCTTTTTCTGAAAGTCAATTTTATGAACCATCTATTGGTGTTTAAAAGACATTAACCAATGTTATAACCGAGGTCTTGAGACATCTTCTAATAGGAAATATTGTATGGTTGTGATTTCTAAGCAAAAAGTAGACCCAAATTTTGCTTTTGTTTTGTACCCTTAACTCGCCAGTAACAAATACTCTAGCCTTAAACTTTTTTGTATCAGTCTGTACTTCAAATGCGGAGGTCTTCCACATGTTTTGGGGCTTTCCTTCTATTTCATAAATAAAATAAAAATAAATATTCAGTTTTACAATTTTTCACAATTAGAGATAATTTTGAATGATACAAGAGCATAAATATCATATGAAAGAAAATAGAATATTTAGCACAGCCATAAAGAAGGTACTACATAGCAAAGAAGCTATTCATTTTGTTTCTGGAGCTCAGAATGCAGCAGAGAAGTGCCCTTGTCATCACTGCAGGACCTTATTCTAATTTTTCATACACCATTTTACTCTAATAATCCGTTCAATTTAATACGGTATTAGCAACTAGCATTTCCTGCCGGGAACGGTGGTTTCCTATCCCTTTCATTTACTCTAATATCTGTGGTCTTGGACCAAATTTTGCCAAAATTTAAAAGGAGAGAATTCTCCATTTTTATAATTTTTCCTGATAGATATACATGTACTTAAGTTGTGTAGAAAGTTTGAGCTCGTTCTAATCAAAATTGAATTTTTTATGAATTTTTAAGGTGCAAGTTTAAGTACAGTGTATGAAAATGTGCATTTGATGTACTGTATACTGAAGGCTAATGTCATTTTATTTTTTTTTAATACACTGCGCATTTCCATGAATGTACAATCTTGCTATTACTTAAACTAGTGTCATTACCTTTCTAATCTTTTGTTTTTTTTAGTCATTGTGGCTGTTGTTCTCTCTCAGTGATATTTTGGTCAAAGATGTCACTTTTATTTAAATTGAGTCAAAAGTAACCTTTATATTGTTTGTTCGTGTGAAATTATTATTATTACAAAACCTTTTGATGTAACTGATAATTTTATTACCTTTATTATTATTATTATTATTATTATTATTATTATTATTATTAATCTATTACCATTCAGAACTAAAATCTAACCATTATCATTATTATTAGTAGTAGAATTCTTTTTATTTTAATATTCAATTATTATTCATTGAGTATTTTTATTAGTTAATACTCCACCCATAATAATGGGCGTATGCTCAACAAAGGGCGTGGCTGAGAACAGAAAACAAACTTTTAACAGCAAAAAAATGTTAGTACGACAAGGAACTAAAAAGTTCTTTAGTCAAAGTCACACGGATTCAGAGTCTGCTTTAGTGAAAGAGTGCGAAAAGGCCTTTAAGAGGCAGGATTTAGCTCTAGCTGAGAAGACTCTGCCACAGGTGCAAGATCCGTCCTCTGTCAAGATACTTTACCAGCCAGACTGGGACAGACACTGCCTTAATCCGCGGCATTTTAGCTTCCTCCACTTAGCTGCTGGTAACGGATGGCTAGGTCTATGCAAAAAGCTTATTAGAAAGTTCAAATCTCGTCCAAACGTTACAGACGACATGGGATTCTACACTCCGCTGCATTTTGCAGTAGGTGGTAAGCATCAGTCCGTCATACAGTACCTCTTGGAAGAGGAGAAGTGTGATCCTCACTGTCTACAGTTTATAGTGACACCTTTTCAATTGGCTTGTACAGTTGGCAACGCTTCAATAGTTGATTACTTTCTATCCGTTTGGAACTGCAACCCAAACTCTTTTGATGATTTTCTAAACACTCCACTTCATCATGCAGTCTCTAGAGGTCACCTTGAGGTAGTCCTGAGCCTTTTTGCAACAGGGGAAATAAGATCCCTGCACTGCAACAAGGATGGTGATACACCTCTTCACATTGCTGCACGTTTGGGACACTATCACATATTTGTATCCATACTCTCGCATATAGAGGTCAACTTGAGTCGTTGCAGGAACAGCATTGGTGATACTCCATTACATGAAGCAGCTCGACATGGACATTTGCCAGTCATCAAGTACATCATGCAGGCTGGGGATTTTGATGATATACACGTTATAAATTCATTGGGTAATACGCCATTACATGAGGCAAGTAGTGGGAATCATTCAAAGATTGTTGAGCTCCTTCTTCATGAAGAAGACCATTGTCTGCTACTGCATAATTTAGAGGGGAACACCCCACTGCATTTAGCATGTAAGAAAGGTCATCTTTCAACTGCTCAATTACTAATGAACAAAGGATTTGATATTCACGCGAAAAATAAAGATAATCAGTCTCCAATTGATGTTACAAAGCCAATAGCAAAAGGACATCTGGAGCAACTACTGCAACAGAAGTAGGCAGCAGAGTTCATCAATAACAGCTATTAATTATAACAATCATGTTACTAAATCACTTTTAAGTAAAACAGACAAGGAGAAATAATAATAATAATAATTTTTAGTAATAATAATAATAATAATAATAATAATAATAATTAATAATAATATTGTCTTTTACTTATAGCCAATTACAAACAAAGCAAGAATAGCTCAATATTAGAGAATACGTAAACATACAACGAAAGACAAGAAACATTACATGGAAGTTAATACGATGCACATTATATTTAGAGTCACTGAGATCCATTAACTATTATTTGGTATAACAAATGTAAAATGACACTCCCACTGCGTGTGAACCAATAGTGGGATGTGGTTAGTAGTAGGTGGATTAGTTCCAGATTTTGAGAAAACTGTCCCAGGACCCAGTGGCAATAGCTAGACCGTCTTCGGTCACACCCAAACAGCTAACACGATTATCATGACCTAGAGAAGGATATTATATAAAAGCAAGCTATTATTATTATTATTACTTCTGACTTTATTTTTTAATTAATTTATTTTACTTTATTTTTTAGCCTAATTTTATGTTACATGTATCTAATAACCTCAACTATTTGCAATAATTGTTGTACATATACTGTATAGCACAAAATTTTTGAGAACTATAAATTTCGCAATTTTTGAAAATGCAGAAAAATTGCTTCCATAAAAATCTGATGGCAGATGGTATAACTTTGCAAAAATTAAATCCACAAAATAGATTTTTAGGCAAATTTTGAAAAATTTACAGACCTCATAAATTTCGCAATACACGGTATGCCATTACTTATTAATATTAAAATACTAATTAATATAATTAATATTACTATATATAATTAATATTAATACCAATTAATATTACTAATAAATTAATATTAACCTGTCAGTACTCCAACTCTTTCTCCTTTGAGTGTGTCCCAGACATTACAATTGAAGTCATCATAGCCGGCCAAGAGCAATCGGCCACTCTTACTAAAGGCAACACTAGTGATTCCACATACTATCATCTCATATGAATAAGTCATCAGCTCCTACAGTAATAATAGTAATAATAATAATAATAATAATAATAATAATAATAATAATAATAATAATAATACTATAAATGATACACTAGCTTGACAAAATTTGGCCCAATTTTTGAGTAATTTAGAATTTTTTTTAAAAATCCAAATTTGATTGGAATCAGCTCAAAATTGATATACAACATAAGGACATGTATATGTATCAGAAAAAATTATAAAAATTCAAAATTCTCTCCTACCCATTTCTGACAAAATTTGGCCCAAGACCAAAGGCTATAGCCTTTGGTCATTGGTCCAATTTTGAGTAATTTTAAAAGTTCATAATGAATCCAAATTTGATCGAAATCAGCTCAAAGTTGACACACAGCATAAGGGCATTCATAATTCATATTTATCAAAAAAATTACAGCAAAAAAATTCTCCTTTTTGATTTTTGTCAAAATACCCTGTACTATATAGTACAGGTCTTTGGCCCAATGTTTGAGCAATATGATCATCTACTAACAAGAAGCCGTATGATCACACATGCTAATGGATACAATTACTATTATATCACTACTAAGCTCCAATGACCTAATGTCCCCGTCATTTTACTAATGCAGCCACCATGTATACACACACAAATAGAATCAGTTTCAGTGAACATGAACAATTACGTAGAGATACAATTACTGGACTAAAGATACACTGTCATTATGGAACTAGCTATCTAACCTGATCTGATCTGATGTCAAATAGCCTGCAAGAAGCATCATCACTCCCTGTACCAAATGCTTGGCCATTGGGGAAGAACTAAAATGTATTAATAATCAAATAATTAATACACAGAAATGGAGGGAGAACAACAAAGAAGAAAGAATGAAGGTAGAGTGTCATTAAAAACTTACAGCTACAGCATTGATATCACTTTCATGTCCCACAAATGTCTGAGCGCATTTGCCTGTACGAATATCCCAGAGCTACAAAAAATGAAATTAATAATAATACAGTATTATACATGTACAATGTATGTACCTTGGCAGAAGCATCACAAGCTCCAGAGATGAAGAGGTTCTGGTCTGGCCCAAGGGAGAGGCTCATGACATCACCAGTGTGACCAGTGAATGATGTAGCTACCTGACCAGTCTCAATGTCAAATAGTGCACTAGAAGGAAGAGAAAACAATATATAAATATTGTGTTATGAATCAAGAAAAGAAGCAATAGAGTGAGAGGGGGAGAGAGAGGGAGAGAGAAAGGGAGAGAGGGGGGGGAAGAGAGAAGAGAGGGGGAGAGAGAGGGGAAGAAAGGGGGAGGAAGAGAGAGAGGGAGGGAGAAAAAGAGGAAGTCTAAATTAAGCTATGTTGTGTTAATAGTAGAGGAAGTACAAAGCTAAGTGTTAATGGTACCATGTCATATCACCAGAAGAGGTCAGGATGCGTCCATCATCAATGAACCGACAGCACGAGAGATAGCCAGCATGACCTGGGAGCTCCTTTGCTATTCTGACAGTACCTTCTCTGTTACGAAGACTATAAACTGTACAGACATTGTCCAGACCGCCTATAGAAATGAGAAGGGGATTTTAAAAGTGATCTGCTAAATTCAGACGTCATTATCGCATTTTCAGCTCCCAACGACTGGGAAAGGGCGAAAGTTATGTGGCATGAAGCGAGTGATTATTATGATTGTTATTACATTAAAGATAAATCGAGACACAACAAACTTTGGTACAATCTAATTTAGAATGAAAACAACAAAAACAATAACACAGACTTTCTAACACTAAAGGAAAAAGCTGTCAACCAACTTGTACAAAACTTATGAATATCCCTCTCTAATGTACATGTAATTGATATATTATTCTTATTACAACAATTTCACTGTCAATTAACTTACCACAAGCCACAAAGCTTGATGAAGGAGCATATGCACAGGCCATTACCCAGCTAGATCTCAGAGGTATAGCATGAACCTACAACACAATAATACCATATCAATGAGCCCCATAAACACACACCCATACATGTACGCTGGTACATACATTAATTACATATGTACATGTACATATTGTACATATACATACACCCATACATACATGTACATTACATATACACATATGTACATAAGTATATACATAGATTTAAATAAAATGTACATATTGTACATTGTACAAATTGTGGCCATGTGTAACTGTGGCTAAATCAGTTTATAATTAATGCTACATTGCATACATGATACAACTGCTTCAGTACTTAAACCGGTTTGATTATCTCCATGCAACCACCTCCTGAGGTGTTTTAGATTAGCTGGTTTAAAATTGCATTGAAATAGTCCACACTTAAACTGGTTTATTTCTAACTGGTTTAAACTGGTTTCAAAATGCTTTGAGAGCATAGTATAAATGGGAGGGGGGGGCTATACATATTGTAGACCCATTCAATGCATGGTGACTCCATATACTCTAATATTGCACACACTTCAACACAAACAAACCACATTTCATAACATGCATGGCTGGCCAGCTAATGTGCCCAATAATGTCACAATGTACACACAAACCCAAATATGGTCGTGTTCTATTAATAGAACACACTACACCTTTTTACTATAAATAAATAATACAAGAGAGAGAGAGAGAGAGGGAGAGTTTGTGCTCACTTTGTTTGTAGTGTAGGCATCCCACACAATTAATTTGCCGTCTTGTGAAGCACTGACCAAGTTTCTGTTGAGAGAAAAAAAGAACAATTTTAAGTAAGCAACTAGTAATAATAAGAGGATCTTAATCCTTAAGTATCGATTTCATCATATCAATTTACATAGAAATTAATTATTAGATACATGTACATGTATGTATGCTCCAATTAAGTTAGTAATAACAAAATTATAAATACTACAAATTTACATGTACTGTACGTGCATGTACATGCAAATATATAACATGTAACTATATACATAATACACATACATGTACATGTACATAAAAATTGACAAAACTCATGAATTTCATATGTACAATACATGTACACAACACATAATTACATGTATATATGTATAAGCATGTACATAAAAACTGATATGTATAAACCACATGAATTACATGTATATACCAATAAATGTACATATACGTGTACATATACAAAAGGTACATGTACAAAAGGTACATGTACACATGTAAGCTATTTTACATGTATGTGTACGTGTAACTGTACCTGGAGTCAGAGGCCCAGTGCATGGCGTATATCTTTGCTAAATGACCGCGTAAAGTTTTCCTGGTCCTCAGACTAACACGATTTATGAGATCAACATCTTTTGCAACCTAAAGCGTGATACAATAGCAAATCAAATCAACTAAATCAATAATAGAGTGATCAGGAGTGACACGCAAAACAGACACGCACAAATTATCCCAAAATAGGCTCAAACTCCACTTCCTTATGTAAATGTTTGTTTTTTTCTACAAGCTGGAATTCATAATAGGCTCGTACACACAGAAGAAAGCCAGCAATATGCACACGCACACACACACACACACACACACACACACACACACACAGTGGCTGACACAGCTGCAATCAAACTGAGAAAGACAGAACAATTGAACGAAAATGAGATGATGATTGGCGATAAATACAAAATCGTTACCAATCTCATAAACACTATAAACAACGATATCCCATATTCTCCTATATCCCATATAAACAGTGGCGTACATGATAGGAGACAATAGGTTATAAGGTTACAAATATATGATACGTCATCCATTGAAAACTAACCTCAGCCAGTGAAGTGTCACATACAGCCATTCGAGCATCCTAGAGAAGATAACAATAATAAATAATAAAGCACACATGATACTGTGTCAATAAAACCACACCATCCATGTACATGTATAATTATACATGCATACTCCATATTTTAGCAAACAGGCATGCACATGTAGATACAGATATGTAATAAAATTAGTGACATTAGGAATTTAGGATACACTGTATATATGTGTACACAGAGAAGAATGATAAACAGCACATGTACATACACAAAAAGATACAAGAAAATGGCATATTCATCATAATCGGGTCACTCATGTGTGTGTGTGTGTCATTCCAGTATATACACTCATGCATGAATACACGCATGCACGCATCTCATTACTGCACTGGACAATGACTGTTTACATGCCATAACTACACGCTGCGAGAAATGCACCTTTTAGGTAGTTAGCAGTTACATGCAAAACAAGTCTTTCAAAACAAAGCCACGATAGCATTTTACACACTTATTTATACCCACTCGTCCAAATACATGTACATGTACATTTGTAATGGATTCAGTTTCAAAATAGATATATAGACTACATAAACCAATTGTGTGTTGAACATGTACACATGAGCATAAAAGCAACCATTATACATTAATTATATAGTTTCAAAATTGATCTTATTCCATGTTAGTCCTTTCCAATGATAACGCAAGGTTATAGTCCATATCGACACAACTGAATACTTCATTAGATTTACATAGCAATTAATTCTTATTGGATTTGCATAGGAGGATACCGGAGTAATATACTACAAATATAGTAAGTGTATATTTGCCTAATCATAGTCTGGAGGCACATCAGGGCATGAATAAAATTAAAAGGGTAAGAAGAATGTATGCCAAGTGGACATTATCATAAGGAGAGAAGGTGAAATTTTGTAATGGAAGTCAGAGAGACAATAAATCTTATTATCTTTATGGTCTTTCACTGCTAGTAGCATATGGAACACATACCACTGCCAATAATAGAGTATTTAATTAGAAGGATAACAAAATTAAAAGCTAGTACACACAAAATGAGAAAATGAATATGAAGGATAGCCTAGTCATGTGAAGAGACAATAACAAAGTTAATGGTTAGCGTCGCTTGAATTTGTTAACAGTTACATGTAAGACACAGGACAGCGGGTCTGTGTCATTGGGAAGTATGCTTGTCTGCTAGGGAAGAATTCAAGCTTTTTCTTCCTCGTTTTTAACCGCGATTTTGTATGTATGAAAGTAAAGAATAGGGAACAAATCTTTTGTACAGAGAAGTATTCATTTCACGAGGAACAAGTACAAAAAGAACAAAAAATACACATACATAAGGAGAGAAAAAAACAGAACATATGTACATACGTGTGTAGATGTACATGTACTAAGCGAAGGAGAAAAGGGATAGACCGGGATTATAGAAGCGTTGGAAGATGACAAATATACAACACAAACATAGAGAGGCTGACAGAATAAGCATACATGTATAATAATGAGTGGTACATGTAAATGTATATGTACGCACACACACAACCACACAAAATGAAACAGAAAAAAACATGAAATGTGGGTAGGAGAGAAAGTGTCAAATCCAGACATGTAACGAAGACACACAAACAGGAAAATATGGAATAAGGTGAGGAATTAAAGAGAGGGGGGGATGAGTATGAAGGAAAGGTAATGGTTAAAAGGGCTTAGATATGAGAGAGCAGTGGGTTTATGGGCTAAAGAAGGTTTATATTAATGATAGTAGGGGATAGAGCGACTTTAACACAAACAAGAGGAATAACAAGGAGGAGATGTCCCAAAACAAGATAACACACAAACGCCCTCACCCTCATCTTCTTCCTGAGGGTCTCAGCTTCTTGTCTCAATTGCTCTAACTCTGACATTTTGCTCGCCCTCTAAAAAAGGAGAGAGAGGGAGATAATGGGTTAGACAGTTTACAAAAGGTCAAAGCCGTCGGGTGAAGAGATGACACGACAAAACGGGGAGTACATGACATAAAATACGTACCTGGAAGTTAAAGCTAGCGTCTAACACAAGTAATGGAGTCAGGGATAGCAAGAGACTCTGGTAATTGATGAGTGGAGGAGAGAGAACAGAGGATGATGGAGGAGCCCTGGGAGGGAGACGGCTACGGCGGGTGAAAAGCTAATAATAGAAATCACCAAATAAGGCAACAGGAAAAGGCGGAGCTACCTCAAGAATATCTTAAGGTTACTATGGCAACTAATCTATGAATAATAATTAGTTCATTATTTTGACTTTCTTAAAAGAAGTTACATAGAAAAAAATGTTAAATAATAAACTAAAAGTCCAGCTTGTGTGTGTCTCATTTATGAAAGTGACTTATATTATTTACATGTAAAAAGGACCTAAGACAAAGGAAAATAAAATGACTTGAGTTGTGCTTGTGCCAAAATGCTTTTGATAGGAACAGCTAGTCTTCGGCAGCAACTTCCTTCTGTTCCTCATCTCCGCCTTCCTCCTGGGCACCATCTTCTTCACCTTTAGCACGCTTGTTCTCCCTTGCCAGAAACTCCTCACCTTCCTAGGGGAGATGATATTTTAACAGTGATTTTACTTATCAATAATTTTAATCTTTATCAATCTTACAGCTAACAGTCTCCTACCCTCTCTCTCTCTCTCTCTCTCTCTTCCAGGCTACCACTTCATTTCAATCTTTTCCCCTCCTACCTTCTGTTTGTTCCTCCTTCCCCCTCTCTCTCCCTCCCCCTCACCCTCTCCCTCTCTCTCTCCTCCTTACTTTTGCTGTCTGTGCCATAGTGCTAGTGCGCTTCACAGCAGGCTTCTTCTCTTCACTTTCAGAGAATTTACGAGTCTGTGAGCGTGTCTTCCCATACTCCTCGTTACCTAGTATATGCTGACTGTCCTGTGATATAACAATGGAGAAAATATTTATTAAAAATACACAGCAAATAAATCAATGTACAGCATGAGTATAGGAACATTACACAAAATCAATAATAGCAATGTATTATAATAGCTAGCCTTCAGATTGGGAGGAGTATAAAAATGTGAAGTTGACCATTCAGAATCATATTTGTACTAGTGTACATAACAGTACAATATACAGTTTAAAGGTGGCTGATGCCATTATGTTATCCTAATACACAAACATATAGTGGTGGAATATTACAGGACAAATAAACTAAAACTATACAATGACCACACACAGATGTACATGTACATGCATGCCCAATGTCAGACCTCAGTAGTTTGAGCCATGGTAGTTGTTCTCTTAAGCTTAGCAGCATCACTCTCTTCACCTTCATCTTCTTTAGTAGCAGCAGCAGCTGCAGCAGTCTGACCACGTGTCTTCTCCAGTTCCTCTCCGCCAAGAAGCTGGGCCCCCTCCTGTTATAAGAAGTAATATACATGTAGCTAGGGCTATACAAAATACATAAGCTATATTGTACACGTATATTATAGTCAAGGTTTTTGAGTCAGATTGTTTTGGTACACAATTGGCTCAATGGATTTTGTGATGGAAAAATTTGGTAAAAATTTTGATCAAACAATTGATGTAATACAAAATTTAAGCAAGGCAAATTGGAGGAGAATAAATTATATAATTTCCTTAATAAATGATTCTGTATCCTAATCTACCAATGCAGTGCAGAAGTAATAATAATAATTACAATGAGCTAGGGTCACTCACGATACTTATATGTATTAGATCAACATCACTAGCAAATATAAACTAATAAGCTATAATCTGTAATGGAAGCACTTTCCTTGAATCCAGATGTTAACGGCATATGTACTAAGGTAATTTCCATAATCCCAATAAAGGCACACATAATATGACAAATTACATTAACAGGCTAAGCTTTAATGTGGTATTGAGAACATATGGCTTGACCTCAGGCACTCTGAATAGACTCTCATGAACTTAGTAAGTACATGCACGTATAAGATAGTCTTATACCAGCTAGCTTAACATTCAGTATAATTATGATCTCCCATGAAGCAGTTGAAGGGCATTAATTAGGTACATGAATTAAGGTACATGTACTATGATTGAGTTCAATTGAGCTATTGACATGTACATGCATGCATGTATGATTTGTATCTGTAAATGTACAAAAAATTCGGGGAGGGTCGATATACTTAAGGATGACCACACAAGAGCATCACAGTGGTCAAGTATATACATGTGCATACAGTGACATATGGATCAATCAAAATTACAGCTTCAATTGATGTACATGTACATGTACACCTGGACATGCCATTATAGATACTTTGTGTGGGCGTACATGCACATACAAGTATGCTTGTAAGTAGAGCACTATATGTACATGTAGTTTATACATAAGAAAAGAATTCTCAGAAACTGCTAAATAAATCTTCACACCAATACAAACTTCTAAATTAGTATACACCACTTTAACACTTAGGTGTTTTTCGAGAGGGAGAGAGAGAGAGAGTTCACTATAAAGATTCCCATGTTTATCCATTCACTGCATATGAAAATAACATCAGTTTCACTTTTTAAAATGACTGTAACGACCGATGCATAAGAAAAATCCAAACTGACAAATCGTTGCTTAATTGTCAATCAATCAGACTATAACTATACCAATAATTATAATAACATAATAAATCAGTCCATGCAGAGCCAATTATCCGTACTAATAGACAAACATAAACAAACTACCACATCAAATAATGTAGTACTAGACATGCAAATATAATAATGTACATAATTAAGCCTTCAGAACATCAATATAAACTAGGTACCCTAGCTGGCCCTAAAATAGCTATGGTATACTATACCAAATGCAAGAGTAGCAAAGCATAGCTTTAATTGTGGGGGAGAAATATAAAAACAAGGAAAACCATACAAGTTTTGGAGGATATCATTAATAATGATGCTTCAGTATTCGGTACATGTACTTGAAATATTATTATATGCTGCAGCTCAAAAACGATTCTTATCGGGCTGTCACAGCTTTCAGTGTGTGGGTAATTTTGGGAATGTTTCTAAGGACAGAAATAGTACAAATAGAAACATGTGATGTAATGCAAGTTACAATATGTCAGCATCATTAAACATAATGAGTACACAAACTACAGGTATATAGTGCTAGGTACTGTATCTCACATAAACACTATACAAATTTTTATTGAGGTTCCAGTTATAATTTAATTTTATTATTATCATCTTACTATAATACTACTTTCAGTTTATTCACATAAATTATATTATCAAATATAATTAATTTAAAGTTCAGGATACATGCTCTGATTATAGGAGATCCCCTCCTACATGGTAACCTTGTTAAACTAATTTAACAATACTTGATGGTTTCACAATCACAAGTATTTAATAAGTACAGCACATCAGACAACACATAGAAGAGGAAACTGGAGTAATCCAATATATCTCATTATGAAGAATTGCAATGGAATACAGGCAAATTAACACAGTCTAATACTTAAACCAGACACAGTAGTAGTACACGCATTAGCATACTCACATAAACATAATAACAAACAAACTAGCTAGTGTGCAAACAAGCACCACAATATCTACTATAATGAATAATGTACTATTTTATTTAATGAGTCTTACATTAGCAGTCACAGCCATGGTAGAATCACGTGCAAGTTTAGGCTTCTCACTAGCTTCATCGGTCGGCTGATCGTCGCCATTAGCAGTCTCTTGCTCAGTGTTGTTGGTGTCTCCATTAGTCTCTGATGTTATCTGCTCCAGTGCTTCTTTCTGGGCACGAGTCTTAACATCATCATCTGTGACAGTCATCCCCTGAGCTTCGAGAAACTCCTTCCCTTCCTATTTTGTATAGAAAAGGAGCTCACCCCCAACCCAATTATTATCATCATTATTATTATTACGTTATTAATCATCACATTACTTAGCAGCTGGATTATTTTACAAGCTGCACTTTGAAAGTGTTAACATGCACAGAATTTCATTACTTATACAAGCCCTCGTTAGATCCTCAGCTAGCTACGAGTCCCGCTAACCTGTGCTGTGACAGCCATGGTTCCCTCTCTCTTCAGTTGAGCGGCTGAATCAGACATAACTGCGTTGTGATGTGATAAGAAATGTGCGGCGGGAAGTTTTAAAGATCTAAATCAAAGGAAATTTTACAAGTAAATTAGACTAAAAAGAGACACGGAGAGCAAACCAAAGCGTACTAAAAGTTGCTAGAGTGAGGTGACCAGTGGTGCTCTGACTGTGGTGAACTTCTCAATCACGACCGGCAAGCGCCTAAATTTTCCGTGTTGTTGGTAGAACTGCGCATGCGCAGTATAAATTGATGGGAGGCCCTAGCTAAACCGCAAGTCAAAACAAATTACTCCTACGCGGGGGCGGAGAGGGGGGAAATAAAAACACAAACAGGTGGGCGAGGTTTTAATAACTGGATGTGGAAAATGGGCGTGTATTTAATAACTTGCAGAATAAAAATAATTAATATTGAGGTGTGACATTTTGTGCTTCAGCAAAGTTGTAATGGCTTCAGAAAAGTCTTCTTTGCTTGATCGAAACTACAGTACAAACTCTGCCCTCTCGGTCCCTATCACGTCCGAAGACCCAAGACCTCTACGAGAAGATGCAAGTACATCCGTGGCCAATCCTTTCACGAACAAGAGAGTAGGCGAGGCGACCTCGGCCTTAGACTCCTCGACCATAGAAGCCTCCACTCACCACCAGTTGTCTTCTAATGATCCTCGAGAGATTCTCTTTGCTCTCGAGAGAGCAGCAGATTTATTAAGAGGGCAGGTAGAAGAGGATGAGCAGGTTCACAGAGTAAGGTAAATGAAGTGTGAAACGTGATAGGATTTGTAAAGTGGATGTCCTTATTATTAATTAATAGGAAGAGGCCTCTATTACCTGTATGGCTCACTAATCATCTTTTACTAATCACGTTCCTTATCCAGGTATGTTGTAGCCTGTAATAAGTCCTTTGCCTGAGTGAGATTTACAGTGGGTAGTGATTAATTTATTAGGTATGGGTTGATCTTATGTGAAGTATAATAGGATTTATTTATTTGTTGCATTTTGATTGCCTTGCAATTGAGCCACAGTAGTAGTAGTAACAGAATACCGGGGGTAACTATAGTATTCAACAAGGGAGATTACTGTAGATGATGCAAGCCGTTCAGTGATTAACATGAGAATGAAGGGACAAATGATCTTTCAATAATGTACTAATGCACAATTATAAGTATAAGAAAAGTCTTGAGAGACATTGGTTACTGTGATTTAACTATTAATTCTTTGCTTGCATGAATAATTAGGGGCTTGATTGCTCATTGTACTGTTATAGGTGGTCGGTGTTGGTGTGCTGGAGATATTCCATGCAGTGAGTGGTCTGGATGGCACTAACACTACTGAAGCTGACGCCATCGTTGTTGACAGTGTAAGGTGGCATGATGGCATGACCATGTCTATCTAAACTATTGTATAATCGAATAGTAGAGCATTGTACGTTTTTGTTGCATTTAGCATTATCTTTGTGTGTAATAGATAGCCTATGATGAGTGTTAAAAAAGGTGACTACACCTGTATAGCTAAATGCATATACCATGAATCAGGAAATTTATGTGGTAGAAAATTTTTGTGTTTTTAAATTGTGCTGTGATTTAATTTTTACTAAATAAGATTGTGTCATGTATTATTGAATGTGGCATGTAATTATGTGGGTGATCTAATTTTTGTGAAATTCTAATTCAGTAAATTTAAAATCACATTTCCAGATAGACAGTAATTTCTAGTCCTTTTGACTAGTGAATATTTACATGAGTAAATGTATTTACTCATTGTATACGGTATGCATAACAACCTATAATTGTAAACTAATGAATGTTTGTCATAAATGAAGCATTTTTGTTTTACTAAGTATACAGCATAACTTTCGTATTGTAATAGATCATGGGTCCCATCATCCTTAATTGGAATTATTTTTTGTTGATTTTTATAATGTTACATGTTTGCTTTACGAGATGTTCTCTTTCTATTTCATCTTTCAAATCGAGACTGTGAATAAAAATAATGATTATATCAGTACAATGGAATTTATTGGCCGTGGAATATTTAGGATATTATTATTATGTTGGTTTTAGGCTAAATTTCACTATCTTATACCATCATTTGTAAAAAAAATTGGCAAGCTTTAATTTGGTGTTTTTCTAGAATTTGCTAACTTGCCAAATTTAATTCTTCACCAATAAATCAGACTATACAATATACATGTGACTATGAGTATCTTATTTTGTCTTTATTTCATTATGCATGTACATGTACATGTACATGTCTTACAAGAAGTGCATGTCTTTAATAATCATGTCTTTATTTGAATCATTATAGGGTGATGGTGTACTGTGCCTCATTGAATTGATACACCTGTTAGTTGTTGTGGTCGTTTCTTGTAAGTATATCAAGTTACATAAGACTATCCTGTTTTGCTTTCCTTTCATATAGTCAAGCTTGTTAAACAAGTTATTCATCACACTGCTACTGGTGTCTTTCTGGCTCAGTGCTACCTCTCAACTGTTCTCTTATTTGCTGGCTTGTATACATTTGAATTTAGAATTTCAGTAAGTGTGTAAGGTTGTTCCTAAATTTATGAATTTTGAATTCTGAGCTTCCCACAGGATTTTGGTATAGTGCTAATGCAGGGTAGATTCTCAATTTGCTCAAAAATTGGATGTCAAAAATAACTAGGAGAGAATTTCTTTTTTTTATAATTTTTTCTGATACATATGCATGTCCTTATGTTATGTATCAATTTTTTGACTTATTCCAATCAAGTTTGAATTTTTTGTTATTTTACAGTTGTTCAAAAATTGGGCCAACAACTAAAGGTTTTTATAGGCCAAATTTATGAAAAATAGCTAAGAGAGAATTTTACAATTTTATAATTTTTCTGATGCCTATACATGTTTTTTGCTGTGTACTAACTTTGAGCTGATTCCAATCAAATTCATATTTTTTTATAAATTTTCAAAAGTTGCTCAAAAATTTTCTCAAAAATGGCTAGGAGAGAATTTTCCATTTTTGTAATTTTTACTGATACACACATGTGCTAATGTTGTATAGAAGTTTTGAGTTCATTCCGATCAAAATTGGATTTTTTATGAATTTTTAAAGTTGCCCCAAAGACATATGTACATATACAGTATATGTACTGTATTCTAGTGCTTAATTTTCAGTTCATAAAGGGAAACCCTGTATGAGCTGTTAAGTTATTAGTTGATTGACTTTTACAAAAAGCAAGCACAGCTCATTTTATAATCTTATTACACAGTGCGGTACAGTCCCACAAAGTTTAATGTAGTATTGAGTTATTTCATCAGACAGCAATGCTGTACAAGATCCATTACTTGATAATTCAGTGTTATGAAGCATGATAATGTTAGAATGGAATGTTAGAATGGAATGTACCACACTGTATACAATAAAATCCGGCTCTTGTGCATAGTACATGTTCTGGATTAAATGTGTGCCCAGCATTTAAAATATTTGTTCACTAAAGTGTTTTATATTAACAGCCCACAAGTCACTCTGCTCATTCTAATGAACACACACTTGATATTCATTGATACATCCTTTCTTCATTAGTTAATACATTAGCTCCTCTCAATATGTGCATGTATTTATGTTGTGTATATAAATGTATCATTGCTTCTTCTTGTTTGTTATTATACAGCCTTCAGCATGGGACAATCTTAATGCTAACAAAGCCACTCATCCGACATTTGTGTACCTGAAGATGCTCTATTTCTCTGTATCCACTGCTACACTCTGTGGTGAGTGACATACATGTACTGTACTTCCTATTATACAGTAGCTTTGTTAAGGCACCATGGTTGGCATGAAAGAGTTAGAAAATCTCCAAATTTTGCATTTGCTATGTTTATAGACACTTTCCGTCATAACAAGTGATATTGGATTGAAATGTAAACTATAACTTTAAGTTTCATTTTCTATACCCACATACACTAGTGTATACAATTGAACCAAGCTATATCTTAAGCTGATTTCATAGTATACACATCATGTACATTTTGACCAGAAGTGCTCTATAGTGCAGCACTTCAAAGCCTACAATGGAGAAATAAAAAATAGAATGCTGCCTATTAGGCCTTGGCGGATTATGCCAGCACAATTTTGAGCATAATAGAGCTCAAAAGCATGAGCATAATGTGAGCATAATAGAGCTATAATAGAAAATTTTTAAAAAATGTATTGAGAAATGCAATAAAAAGGCCCTTGCACTCAATAAATTAACTGTTTTGAAACAGCTACCATTGCTCACAATACTCAAGGACTTATTATAATGAAATTCATGGGCATAATTGGGAGCATAATGGCTGATTGATAGAGCATAATAGAGCTGTTTCCTGAGAATTGAAGCATAGCATAATAGAGCAATTTTAGAGCATAATCTGCCAAACCCTACTGCCTATGTCATGTTTTACCACTGTAGTGTATACATTTAGCAGTTCTGAGTAAAACCAAAAGATTCATACTCATGCTTAGTTAATTGACTGGTGTGCATGTTGTATACTCATAGCATAATGAAGCTCCTTTAATTGCTACGTGTGAGTGATGTCATTACTCCAGCTCTCTACTACATGTACATGTACATGTACATGTGTACATGTGTGTAAAATGGTAGCACTCTAATGGGCCTTTTCTTATAATGCTCTAATTATTGTCTGTCTGTCTGTGTATCTTATAAGTGTATCAGTAATTGATATTATTGAATGAAAGTGTTTCCTCTTGAGATGCAAGAAAAGTTTACTAACTCTCCTTTTCTGAAAGTGCTTACAAGCATAAATGCTGTAATTAGCCCAATACTGAAAATGCTTTCACAATTAGCCTAACAATGTAAGCAGTAGGATGTACATTATTATGTTTAGGGAGACAGAAACCTCCAATATGTCCTGGCAGTGTAGCCTAACTTTATCAACAAGAACATCCCTGGGTACATGTATGGTATAAAGGTCACCTCATTACCTCAATGTCCACATTGTTTGTATTATTAATATTGCACAATAATAATAATAATAATAATAATGATAATGATAATGATAAATAATAATAGAATTTGATTTGATTTTATTTTATTTAACCTCTCTTGGCTTTGTGCTCTTTTCCTTGTTCTTATCCTGTCCCACATCTAAATGACTATTTCTTTTCTTTGTTGTACTTATTGTTATTGTTATTGTTATTGTTTAGAACAGAGAACAACAATAATAACAATAATTAAAAATGATTTAATATTTTGAAACAATATATTAAATAATGATAGTTCCCTTTTACTAGGCTCCTGAGTATGGTATGATGAAATGTTTTATTTTAAATTATAATTATAGGTACTTCAGTCATTGAGCCTGTTTCGTGGTTCTCTTATCTCACTTCTGGGGTCCAGATGTTGTTGAGTTTTGTTTATTTTGCTTCAATCCTCTCCGTCTCTATTGTCCCTAGAAGAGCCTCTAAATTCGACAATAAACACAGAAAGGAAAGATGTACGCTACAATTATTAATTTATTATTATTATTGATATTATTATTATATTTTTATAGCTCTTACAAGTTTGATACGAAAGGCCTTCATCTTCTTGTGCTGCTGCTGTCGAAGTTGGACTGTCGATTTGTAATTTTTGAACAATAACGTTTAATGAACACTGATTATTATTTGTATTGTTAATTTGTTAAATGAAAAATTCTTAATTGGGGAGGTGTGATCGTACTAAAACGTGGTCGAACGTGTATATATCTGTTTTAATGGAGGAGCCTCATTCAGATCCCGACTCAGTTATCCACAGTGATGAGGAAGATTTGCCTGGTTCACAAGAGTCCCTGGGACTCAGCCAGGGAACCCTGAACGAGTTAATGGAAGCTATAAAAAGCAACGGGTAAAGGCAGAGTTGATTATAATGTTTAGAACCGATTACCGGTATGTAATTGGTGCCACTTTTATGGTGGGGTATTCGATTTGCCTGGCAATGAAATAAGTCGTGTTTCTCAAAGCACTGATGTGACTGGTGGAAATCTTATAAAGCATGTCTTGTCTGTTGTCCTTTGTTTAAAATTAGGAAATTGATCATTAAGTTAATGAACCTGTTCACACTAGTGTGGCCTCAGGTTCTGTTGCTCTTATAAGAACTAGTGCTAATTATTATTATCAGTCTATTGTGTAGTAGTATCACTGAAGAGTTCTATGTTTGTGAGGAAGAGTCTTCATCAGTGACTGAGAACAGTTCAAGTATGGATAGTATCACCATACAGAGGTCACTCCTGACTCCAGCTTCATTCATGGTTAGTCATTCTGTTTTTGTTCTGATGCAGTAAACACATCATGTTGTTATGTCAGAGATGAGAGCTACTGAAATTGATGGGAGGCCATTTTTAATTTAATCAAATTTAAAAGGTATCATTTTTCGGGCCTTGTATTATTATTAATAATAGCCACTGACTTTATAAGAGTGATAATGCTTGGAGCATTACTAATAGAATTTTTTAAAGATTTTATTATTGCTTTTATTTAGTACTTAGTGGTAGCAAAACTAAGTTTTTTATTGGAATGCGAATTTTTAATCAAAATAGGACTATTTTTTGAAAAAATCCTATCATTGTTTTAACACGTTTTCTTGCTTATTAATGAGAGCATGGACTAAAAAATAAGTCTATAATTAATGCATTTTTGTGTGGCACTGCCTTTGAGTGACATCAGCTGATAATTAATGGTTCATGTCTGCACTTCCTTGCGTATCTCATTTTTTATAAATTAACATTATGTGCCCGCGCCTGCTGCTACTCAGCATTTCTGCAACTTCCCAGTTGTCACTCTTATCCATTTCCTTGCTGTAATTGTATGGCTAGCCTGGTTTCCACCTGGACTATAGTATGTGGTCCTCCACAGCATATATAAGCATTGCTCTCCAGTTGGAGTCATCAGCAGTCTTTGCTTCAGACTCCCTTCTAGCTCATAGTATTATAGAATGATGTCCTGGTCTCTTCCCCCACCACCCCCCTATACCTCAGTAGGTCCTGGCACTGATCCTTATGTATGCTATATTGATCAGCCTGTGCTTCCCATTCCTAATGTAAGAAGCAAACTAATGCAGTCCTTTACTTTAATATAAAGCTGCATGCGCTAAACATGCAGTAGCTGTGTTTAGCATACTATTAGTTGCTATTATTATCATTATTATGAGCAAAAGTATCTTTATTTTTGCAGAACTCACAGCAGCAGCAGCAGCAGTCACAGCACATGCTACCAATCAGTTCTTCTTACAGCTACCCTCAGCCTCCTCCTCCTCCTCTCTATCATGTCTATGGTGACTCAGGCTCTGCTGTCTCCTCTGCTAACACCACTCCAACAAGAGTCACTCCTCCCGTAAGTGACCGGTCCTTTGCTCTATGACCTGGAATGTCCCTTTTATGTTTCAGTGTCTATTGCAATGGCTGCATGTACTATACGCCGTCGGTCATTTATTCATTCTAGTTGTTGCATGTTGCTTGCATCCATGCTTGCCTCAACTGCTATCAGCCCTAATGTACTCTAATCCCTTTATTGTGAGGGACATCAAAGCATTGCATGGGCTAGTGATTGTAAGACTGGCAGACAGTGAAGAGAAATTGGAACAAATGTGAGATGGACGAGAATAAATGAATTAATGAGAGAGTTGGTTGCTCTTACGATATATGTGTACATGTACATGTAAAGTGAAAGAAAATGAGATTTGTAGTAAGTGAGAGAATTGCAAAGATAGACAGTGAAGAGAAATTGAGACGAATGTGAGATGGACGAGACTAAATAGATTAATGACTTACCGACAGAATTGCTCTTGTCGTGTAAAGGTGAGAGAAAATGAGAGTGAGTCATTTGTAGTTAATGTAAGATTTGCAAAAAGTGAAATGTTTTTTATGTCGGAAATTTAAAAAATAGCGGAAGGAATTCAGGAAGAACTAAGAGATGTAGAGAGTGGGAGAGACGGTGAAGTAATAGTGCAAGTTGCTTTGAAATTTCATAATTATGTTGGGAAAAGGGACTTTAAGGATAGGGTCAGTGACATCAACTAGCAGAGTTGGAGTGGGAGATCTCTTTGTGTCTATACATGTACATGTACATGTAAGTCTATAAAGTACGGCTAATAAAGTAATTTGAATGTGTGCATGTGCTTGTGTGGGGCAGGTAACGAGTACTTTTGGGTGTTGTGGGTGTTGTTAGCTGTCTTGTGGTTTATTGTTTTCAGAATTATCGGGCTAATGGGAGATAGGGGTTACATCATTGTCTGTGCTTGCAAAGCATGTGTTGATCTTTTGATAATGATCTTCAGACATTGCAGTCCAGCAAGTGTGTTACACTTTACACCCACTGTACATAAGATCAGTATACACTTTAATGCATTGTTTGTAAAACAGTCTGAGTCAACTAACATTGCTCCCTTTGTATAATCAATGAGCCAGCATTGCAATCATACAGTAGATTAGTAGTACTGGCTGTTTAGCATATTGGGACATTAGACTAACAGCATAATAGCAATAGTATATAGTCCATTATGTAACATTATGTAATATACACAATCTAATACATTGGACAACATGATAGTACATGATATTGCATCATATAGCATTTTAGTATGTTATGCAGTATAATACAGTATAAGTATAACCATATTAGTATCTTATTAAGCATAATACAGTAAGGGCCGTACATTATACAGTATATTACTACATTGGTAGCATCATTAGTGCATTAGACAGTATAATACTGCTGTGTTAGCATTATTAACATGTTATGCAGCATTTGAGTACATTATACAATATATTACTACCTTATAAACACAATTAGTATAATGTTACATAGTACAATAGTACATTATGCTGCATAACGAATGTGTATAGCCCATTATCGTAGGATTATAACATTGGAATAGTATGTCCCCATCACTTCCGTTGGACCTATGATATATTATCCTAAAGTGAGATCACCTACATAGGTCCAACTCAATTAGTATAGGCACTCATAGGTAGCCTTCAGGGTGAAATCCCCTCTATGCATCCTTACTGTGTGTCTGAGTGTGGATTGTGCATGTACAATGTATGTGGAGTTAAGGATGAGGTCAATGGGTCAATAAAGTGGGTTGTCTGTAGTGTGGACCTGAATCACTAGGAGAGACTGAGAGAAGAGCTTCCTTCCCTTTGAAGTGAAGCTACTGCACATGTGTGATTATTGTCCTGTAGTAAAATAATTCTATAATATGTCTAACTCGATAATAATGATTTTATAATGGCTGCTAATTAGTTGCTATTGTTGTATTTCTAGGGTGATAGCCCAGCTGCTATGAGTGACTGCAGTGGGTCTTATTCTCACATGCACGGGATGCCATTCATAAGGAAGAAAGTCCCATCTAAGTGAGTTAAAGAAAGTGATAATTTAAACTATGCTTATTACCTTTGAACTATTTGCTTACCTTTTTTCTTGTATTGTGGGACGATTCTTTCTATCATATTAAAGGTTTAATGTCCTACTGTAGCATTATTTCAACAGTACATGTTGTTTCCTATTTATTTTCATTATAAATCCAATTACTGCATGGAAACTATAGTAGAATATGCACCTGTGTTTTTGAGCTACGTGTCAAATGTGGTTTTTACTAATTATTAACACTGAAAGGAGAGGAAAAGAACCTCAACTAGGAAAGACCTTGAAATTACTTTTGGTCATGTTCTCGTGGGTGCTGCCTTATGGCTTTATGCACTATGAAGCATAATATCCAGTGGGTGCATTTACTATGTTTTATGCTATAACGAATGATATAAGCATGTAATAAGGTGATGTAATAGCTGCATTGGTTGAATGCTATGAAGCATAGAGGCAGTATGTGTAGCTGCTGGCAACGTTTGTTTTATATTGCAATGGATGGGATAAGCATTATGGTATAGTTTTAAATGATTAGTGAATACAGTCAGGCCTGTCTACTCCGGACACCTTGGTACCCAATAATACCCTCCTGATTATGAACCTGTCCTTATTTCAGAGGTTCATTAATACACATTACTATTGTATTGGGACTGATACTACCTGTCCTCATTATAGAGGCCTCCTTATTTTAGAGTGTCCACAATAGCAGGCTATACTGGTATACCGACCGTTATACACTTCACATTGAACTCTTCACGCTTGCTTGCTTATCATTGCATGGTGTATATTGACTTAGCATAATTAGTAGGTGAGTTGGATGTGTGAAGATTATGTCATGGTAATTTGTGTGAGATTGTTGATAGTTATAAAGTGTCATGTGTTTCGCTAACTAATGAGTGATGCGATGTTGACGGTATTTGACCATATACGGTCATACTATTTTCTAAACCGAAAACATTAATTAGGGTGGGACGTTGTGTGTGTTAGTAAATAGCTGTACCTTCGAAGTGTTTTATCATTAGACTAATACAATAAGTGCATAAACAATGATACTAATCATACAACAATACATATACATAACCATTACGCTTGTAAGTGATGCATGTCATTGTAAGCCATGCATTCATTTATGTATTATTTATCACATAATTATATTGAGGTAATTTTTGCTAGTATGTACATGTGCATGTAGTTTGGGGTAAGAATTGTTCAATATCTAATTAATGGCTTGAAAAACTGGTTTGTTGAGCTTTGTGGATAATAGTATACATGTACATAATATGGGTACTTTTTGCTGGTGCTATGTACATGTACATGTACATGTAGGTCTTGGGGCATTTCTTAGTAAGTATTGTTCTGATTATTATCTTGATAAACCGGTTTGTTGAGCCTCGAAGATAATATATACATGTACATGTAATTATTAAAGTACTTTTTGCTAGTAATATGCACATGTAGGTCTTGGGGCATTTCTTAGTAAGATTTGTTCTGATTACTATCTTGATAAACCGGTTTGTTGAGCCTCGTGGATGATAGACCAGGAGTGTGCAGTGGTTCCCCTCAGGTTTTACTATTATTCGATTAGCTGACCAGCGACCCGAGGCTGAGCTATAATGTACATGTGTGAGGAAATAATAAGAGTTTTGTAGTACCCATTGTTATTCTAGCTACAAGTCCTTTTGTAGTTTCTTCTTTCTCACATACTAGGATTGGGTTCAGGGCACACGTGCATGGCCTCAACTCTAAAGCTTCACGTGTTATTTATTGACTTCACATCCTCTATGTTATTGGCACTGGCACTATGTGGGTATATTTCAAGTAGTCAGCTGCTCCCCATAACACAATTGAACTATGCTACTTGGGACTCCGATTTTAATTAAGAAAATTACAATAAAGGAAGCAGTGTCTGGTGTTTAGGTGTTAAGCGGATTATGTTTATCATGTGATAATGACACCCACTCATCTAAGCATGTTATGATTATGATCTAATGTGAAAGGAGACGCGTATTGTGACAATAATAATTAATTAATTGGCTTTATTGAGTTAAGTTTTGGCTAGTTGCATTTTTGGTGATGTTGATGTTAATTTTCAATTCTGTCTGCCTCAATGTCTGACTTTACCTTTCTTTCTATGCCTCTTCCTCTTTCTCTACCTCCACCTCCCTGTCTCTCTCTCTCTCTCTCTCCCTCCCTCCCTCTCTCCCTCCCTCTCTCTCTCCCTCTCTCCCCCCTCTCTCCCTCCCTCTCTCCCCCCTCTCTCCCTCCCTCTCTCTCTTTCCCTCTCTCCCTCTCTCTCTCTCTCTCTCCCTCCCTCCCTCTCTCCCTCCCTCTCTCTCCTCTTAGTATACCCATGCCTGGTGAGTATGGCTTTACTCTGATCTTAAATGATGATGATAACAGCGTAAGTTTAAGTAACTGCATATTGTACTCTAATTTATTATTATTTTAAATTATTTACAGAAACCACCAAAGACTGTACCATTCACAGTAAGTAGAACTATCATGGTCATTATTATTATTATTATTATTATTTTTATTATTTTTATTATTGTTGTTGTTGTTGTTGTTGTTGTTATTATTGTTGTTGTTGTTGTTATTATTGTTGTTGTTGTTGTTATTATTATTATTATTCTTTATTAGTATTCTAACCTTATGAAAAGGGCATACATTAAAAGAGACTCTACAGTTGGCATGACATTTTCCTTCTCAAGTAAGTGATGACTTACATGTTATTATTATTATTATTATTATTATTATTATTATTATTATTATTATTATTATTATTATTATTATTATTATTATTATTATTATATTGATTGTAGAAGTCCCTCCACCGAATGCTGTCATAAGGGCAATGGCCATTCACAAGTCTCCGGACCTGATTGGGGATATATTGCAGTGCTGCCCTAAGCATATAGAGGATCAGAAGAAAAGAGGTAAGGACCCAAACCCTCACTTACCATTAAGAAACTACTGTAATAATAATAATAATAATAATAATGATAATAATAATAATAATAATAATGATAATAATAATAATAATAATAATAATAATAATAATAATAATGATAATAATAATAATAATAATAATAATAATAATAATAATAATAATAATAATAATAATGATAATAATAATAATAATAATAATAATAATAATAATGTGATAGCAGCTACTATGTAGATATGCTCTTTATGAAAAGGCTATCAATAGTAAAGAACTTTTATTAATGAGCTTTGATTAGTACATTAATATACATGTACATGAAAGTAAGATACTTTAGTAACTGTTATTGGAGATACAGTACTACATGTAACTTAAGAGTTGTTTTCCTCCCAGACATTATGATCCTTTATTTGGTTATTATAATTTTAAGTGTCTTTGTTTTGTTGTCATTCAAAGGTCATCAGTTTCCAAAGCATTTTATATGTGGAGCAGCTAAAACAGAAACCATCTACTGTGAGGACCCCGCCTCCGGTAGACTCTCTATCACTATGCCTATCAGCTCACTCCAAGCCAGTAAGCACATGTGTACCATTAACCATTGACCCATTAACCATTAGCCCCATTCACCATTGACCACTAACCTATTCACCATTAACACATTCACCATTGACCATTTGACCATTGACCCATTCACCATCAACCATTGACAAGAATTCATGTATATTATACTTTTGCCATTGATCATTAACCGTTGAACCCATTAACCCACCGACCTTTAAACATTAACTATTGACCATTAACCATTGACCCGTTTATAGAGTCATTGACCAGTGGTAGTGTTCAAGCTTTTTTCGTATTCCCGTGCTTTACGTCAGAATTACATAAAGGACCAGGACAAGTGGCTCAGTTGATATTCACATTGGAAATGTAAGGATACTGTGTAATGTATGTGTGTGTGTGTGTGTGTGTGTTACTGCTTGTATGTGGATGATTTTCTGATAGATATACATGTACTTATGTTGTGAATCAAATTTGAGCTGAATCCAATCAAAATTAAATTTTTTCAAATTTTTAAATTGCTCCAAAATTGGGTCGAAGTCCCTGTACTACAGTACAGGGTCTTTGGCTAAATTTCACCAAATTTGAAAAGGAGAGAATTCTTCATTTTTATAATTTTTCCTAATACATATACATGTACATGTATTTACATGTATGTTGTGTAGAAAGTTTTAGTTGATTCCGATCAAAATTAATTTCTTTACGAATTTTTAAAGTTGCTCCAAAATCAGGCCAAATTTTTCAAAAAATGAAAAGAAGATAATTCTTCATTTTTATAAATTTTTCTGATACATATACATGTATTTATGTTGTGTTCAAACTTTGAGCTGATTCCAATCAAAATTGAATTTTTGAATTTTGAAGTTGCTTGTCCATTATTAATTCCATTCTTAGAGGAGGAGTCCTTTATGGTAGAGCTGTCGTGGATATCAGAGTATGTGCTTCTACAGGAAGAGACAGAGACAATGATGAACAGAAACAATCAACTCCTTCCACCATCGACCCTCTAGTTGATCTCAAGAAGTCAAGGAAGAGACCTGCTTTGACTCAAAACGTTGAGTGTGCCATTCCTTCCAAAGTATCACGGACTAGTCTATCAGCCAAACAATCCTTTACTGTTGAGGTTTGTGCCTGATATTGTACAGACATGCATGCACACCATAGATATATTTTATTTATTTATACTACCGTATAGCTCAAAATTTTTGTCACATTTGAATTTTTTAACCGACGAAATTTTTGTTCCACTTAGATATAGTATGTGGATTAATACAGAAATGATGAAAAAACTTTTTTGATGAAAATTAATTTTAATAAAAAAATAGAATTTTGACGAAATTTTTGATTGTTGAAAATCTTGTACTTGTTGATTCGTTGTACTTGCATGTACTTGTTAAAAATACTAACAGTAACATTGTGCTCTTATAGTGTGTAGAAATCCTGTGTTGATCCTGGTCAAAATTCTATTTTTGATCAATAATTTTTGACAATTATTTTAAAGAAAATATGAGATTAAATTCACCTATATAATTGCAAAAATAACCTTGTAAGAAATGATGAAATTGCCAGAAGTTAACTTGTTAAGCCAAAGCTTAAATGTACATGTACATGCAGTAACATGACTTGTTAAGAACATGAGTGTAATAGGACCACAGTCACTAAAAATACTAAATACATCAACTATTGCTATTCTTTTGTGCATAATAGACGTATCCCGAACTGTTTCCATTTGTTGAAGTGTGTGTGAGGATGATGGAGCGGGTCCATCAGGTAAACATTGAGTCTGAGGCCAACTTATCTCAATTGAACATTGGAGCAACTGCTACTGATGTATGTGCTATAATATGCACTGAGTTTAAAATACTCTTTTATTAACAATTATATTTATTATTTTATTAGGTTCCAGATGATCCATTGCTCCCCAGTGCTTCATCTCAATTACATGGATCTCAAGATATCAGAAATGTTGAAAGGTACAATAGTAATAACTTTATGAGCATACATGTACATGCAAGTAAATGTATTTTTATTTATTATTATTATTGTTATTATTGTTATTGTTGTTGTTGTTAATAGTTGGCTTCAACAGTTGAATCTTTCACAGTATAAGGTTCTATTGGACAATGGTGGCATATGTGATCTCGCTCAAGTTATTAGTCTTGATAATAATGTGAGTTTATTAATGATTAATTATGATAAAATAATTATGTCATTATTATAATCAGTATTATTCTTATCATTATTGTACTTTGTAGCGGAAAATTTTGGAGGGAGTTAAATTTGGCGAATTGCTATTTTGATAATAGTTGAGTTGAATTTTAATTTGGTGAATTAGTGGCCACATGCCATTGAGCATTTGCATAATGGCTCAAAATGGCAGATTTTATTTTGGCAAATGGCTATCAAAACGCCAAATTTAACTACTGTACCTCTAAAATTTCCTTTTGTACAATATAATCAGTTATGTTAATTATTATCATTATTTTACATGCACATGTATGATGCTTATAATTAATTCATTATAATTATTATGTATGTCCGTTCTGTCAATTTATATAGCAATTAAAGGACCTAGGGGTATCAAATTCGTCTCACAGAGAGCAGCTACTAAATGGAATCAGCCTCATTAACACTGCAGCTACCCAACAGCCATCAAGAGAAGACGAGACATTCACATACTCTCAGTCAACGCAGCCGTACAAACCACAGCTTTTATCTCAATCCTCTACTGCAAGTGGTATGTCTAATATAATTAGTCCAAATACACTGGAGGTTCTAAGAATACAAGTCAAGAAGACGTATTCATCTTCTTCAGGTTCTGAATCCAATTAATAATTTATGTGTATTATCATTATCATTTTTTCATTCACTAATAATAATTATTATTGCTAGAGATGACATTATTTATTACTTTGCTATTATTGTTATTATTATTGTTATTATTATTATTGTTGTTGTTGTGTTTTTGTTGTTGCAGAAGCTAAAGTGTAATAATAAGGATAATACTTATATGCATATGCCTCTTTCACATTGTTCTTTATAATTATTTTGAACCAATAGCAATAAGAATAATTTCTAATTAGTTTGTGTCAAATTTTGGATCCACCACTTCCTTGAAGAGTGTTTGATGCATGCCCCTTAGCTTCAGGTTCCTATTAGTGCTTTGTGGATGAGTCCTTGATGATATGAGCTTGTGTGGAGCAGCCCTTCCTGTTGGATATGAAGTCAATGGTGGCATCCTAAACACACAAACACACACATGATTCAGTGATACTGTATATCGGGACATTTTGGAGGGAATTAAATTTGGTGAATTAGTGTTTTAATAGCTATTCGCCAAAATAAAAATCTGGCATTTTGAACCATTATATGCATGCTCAATGGCACGTGGCCATCAATTCGCCAAATTAAAATCTGCCAATCACTCAAAATTTAGCAATTCGCCAAATTTACTCCCTACAAAATTTCCCGCTATACGATACTTGTTGAGTGTCATCTATTCAATGTACCTATAAGTTAAGTGATTGCTTGTAACAAAATCCCCAATGGATTCTAGTTCTTTCTCCTTCCGCCATTTCTCTTCTTTTTCCTCTTTCAAGCCAAAGTTAGTACTTGCTCCTATAATGCATGTATACATAATAATACCTTAAGGAGACAATTGTCTGTGAGTATTTAATTTTGGCAATTTTTTTAAAAATCGCTAGCTTAAGTCCATGCTAACTTTGATTTCTGATTACATTATCAATGCCCTTCCTATTCAACAGGAACATTTTGATTTATCGGCCAATGAGTTTAGAGATGCTCTCTGTCTCAGGTACCTAAAACCTTTATTGAACACTCCTACCAACTGTGATGGTTGTAACGCCCCGTTCACAACTTCTCACGCATTGGATTGTAGAAGAGGTGGCCTAGTTGTTCAAAGACATAATGAAATTAGAGATTTTATTTTTGATATTTCCTCTATGGTCTGGAGTCAAACCATCAAGGAGCCCATGGTAGATGAAAGCTCATCCTCTGACAGTCTTCGAGCTGATGTTGCTATAAGAGGTGTCTGGCAGCCACAGGGTATGTGCCTGTTTGATGTAAGAGTCATCGACTCTGACGCCCCCTCTTATCTAGACAGGAGTCCTGAACAGATTCTGAAAACAGCTGAAAGAGAGAAAAAAGCCAAATATAGTGAGCACTGTGAACGGAGACATGTGAGCTTCTCTCCCTTGTGCACTACTGTGGACGGTCTGATTGGCCCTGAGATGTCTATATTTTTGAAACGTTTGGCTGACAGACTCGCTCTGAAGTGGGACCGGAGATACAGCACAACTTTGAATTGGTTAAGAACTAAGCTCTCATTTGCTCTCATTCGATCAACTAACTTATGTATAAGGGGGACGAGAACAAAATGGAGGGGTTTGAGTTTTGAAGACGGCCTTGGTCTGAATGACTATTTTCTAAATTAATTCTATCTAACTTAACTTTATTTTATTCTATTTTTACAACTTAAGATTATTCTGCTCTTAATATTATTATTGTTATTATTGTTTTTCTGAAAAATGTTGTTGTTATATAGTTGGTATTAAAATGATCAAAACGCTAAATTATTAAATACCAGCCAAATGTCAGTATCATGAAAATTGCTGATATAAGTACACACTAAAGCCTGATTTACATTGCACAGTTAAGGCTATACATTAAGACAGGAAGTGCTGTATAAACCAATGCCAACCATTTACATAATGTAAGAATAGAAATTATCTCTATTTTTACGTTACATAAACGGTTGCCATTGGTTTATACAGCACTTCCTGTCTTAACGTATAGCCTTAAGGCGGATTTACAATATGACATTAGGCCAGCGTACCGTCAATTTTTAATCAAACGCGTGGGCAGTTTGACCTTTTGACGCATGCTTTCCACTGGAATAGAACCAGATTCTATTTCAGCGTCAACGTAACGTCAGGACTAGCGTAATATTGTAAATCCGCCTTTAACTGTGCAATGTAAATCAGGCTTAATAATTGTTTCGTTAAGGTACATTCTACTGCTATTGCAATCATCCTTACCTTGCAAAGGGTGGTCGGTTTTTTCTGGTAGCCAGGCCATTCTCTTCCCATCCCATTTCCTTTCTCCCAGTTCATATCCTCTATTGAATGTTTGATCGTAGAGCGATATTGTATTGCGCATGTAACTCTTCCCATGATGTATGAAAATATGCTCTTTATCTATTCCCTAAATATAAGAATAATAAATAATATATCACCTTTCCAATAACACTGTGGAGCTTAGCCTATTTGATGGACACGGCATAATTTGTTGTAATAAAACTTTTTATTGGTTCATAAAATGTAATTTTGCCAATCAGCAAAGTTTATTGATAATTATTTATAAAAATTATAATGCTAAGGTTCATTTTCATTTTGCTTACTACACTTAATTTGCACCTCAAGGCGTCATGTTTGTACCTCATTTCACACCTTGAGGTGTAAACAAAGTGCATTGTCACAAAAATAGATTTTCAGTGCTGCATTAAAATTGAGCTCACATTATTTCTTATTAGTCCTTTGAGTCGAATGGACGGGTCGGGAGCTTTTAAGTAATGTCCACGGTAAGTCTGACGGCTAGTGCTGCTACCAAACTCGCTCCCTTTCTCAAACTACAAAAAACACATACAGCTCAAATCAGTATAGTCGTTCCAGCACTGCTCTTAACCTTGTACCTATCTTCAGACCAGTTCCCTATCAGGACTCCTTTAGAATAGCGTTGCTCTATTCTCCAGCCTGGGTCCTGCCATTTGTTGGAGAGCACAGATCCACAAGTGCTGTCTGCCATTTGATGCGCTCGTTACTATGGCTACCGGAAAGGTGTGTATTAAAACAGTTCCATGGCAACCAGAAATGAATAACAGTCCAGGGCCGGGCTGGGATTTTTATTAGGGGCAGTGAAATCAGCTTTTATTCAGTAGTAAACCATGACAGAAAGCGAGTCTGACGTCTTTGTACATAAAGGAAGAAAGTTTAGAAGAATAAGCCAGTCTAGCCCTAGTTTACCAAGAGATGATGCTAGTAAGCCTAAAATCATCAATCTTTGATCTTTTACTATCCATTTTGGTTTAGATTCTAGTCCAGTACCTCGATATTCACTCCAAGCTCCTCCAGCCATTGCTGCTCATCCCGTCCCCTCTCGTTCTCTTATTCTTCCTCCTCCCCAGCCTCTCAGCAGCAAACAGAGCAGACCAATGTCTGCTAGAGGACGTCCCAAACCCAATGCAATCCTAGCCTCAAAACTAGACCCAGTCAATGAATACAGAATGGAGTTTGCCCTCCAGGTAACCAGTGAGTATATGTATGTTCACTTACTTTAATGATTTAATATGTGTGTACATGAACATACATTTATTTTGATCGTGTCACTCCCCATATCATTTTGCATTATTATAGGCAAGAGTAAAATCTGTAGGTATTATTTACTCTTGGTATCACCTCGGTATCTGTTTCTATGGTATCGGCTTCTACGGCATCTGCGTCGTGAGGTTAAATACCATAGAAACCGATACAGAGGTGTATAAGCAACTTCTATCATGACATTTGAAAACAACTACCAGCTGCTGATAATAAGACCACAGTTGACATACACACAGCATATCTAACAGGCTAGGCCAGTAAAGAATCAACCAAGCTTGACAAAACTAATGGACTAATAAGAGCATAAGCGTGTAGAGCGCCAAGTTTCTAGTACATGTAAGTGTCCCCGGAGGTATCTAATAGATTTAGAAACCTGGTATTCTGCAATCTTTTAAATTTGGCATGCTAGAAGTTGTTTATACACCTCGGGTATATATACATGTACATGTACTTCATGATTAGCAATGGATACAAGAACTATGTCCATGTTAAATATTATTTTTTAAATATTTTTAATGTAGCATTCTCAGCCACTGCCTCCTATATCCAGCCAACAGTCATCCCCAAAGCCTACGATACAGTCACGTCCTGAGCATCAGTCCAAACTATTAGAGGTTGACTCTGCAGTTGATCTTGACTTCACATCACAATGTGGAACACCAATCGACATACCTCTCTCTATCCTCCGAACACTCAACAGCAACAGCATAATCACAACTAGCACTACACCGAACAACTCACCCAAACAAGCTCTTAAAGAAACACTTAAAGCAAGGGAAGGTACTACTAGTGTACAGTTAGGACTTAAACTACCTAACAGTGAACGGATACAACACGAGTTCCCTTTAAATGCTACAATAAATGACGTCATAAAATATGCAGAGAAAGAGAGTGGTATTGATCTAAAAGATTGCATAGTGAGCACTAATGGACTAACAAGAACAGCTCTTAATGATAAACAATTGACACTTAATGATAGTAATATTACCGTACGGACTGTATTATATTTCTCATTGCCATAAAATTAATAATAAAGTTTTGTTGCTATTAATGTAACCTAGTTACCTGTTGTACTGGAGATTTGTTGTAAATATAAACAAACACTGGATGAGTCATAGAAACACACACACTCATACCATGATCTCACCTCACACATAATAAGTAATGATATTCAACACTGCAATGAATACAATAGCAAGATCATAAACTAACCCACACATAGAGTTGTAAATAAACACACAAACACAGTGATACGTGTGTACATGGACAGTTCACAGTTAGAGTATAAGAATGTTCCCTATATCATACCGAGAGGGCAGGGTACATAGTCATAAAGATATCTATGGATGAATAAACTGCAAGTTTGTTAAGTGAGCCTGCATTTCCTCATCGTCAACATCATCATCATACAGCCAATCGTTTGATCCATCAGTGGGTATACCACCCATAGCCCCACCCCCTCCATCGGCCCCTGGGGGAGGAGGGAGAGGAGCTAGTGGGTTAGTGGCTCCAAGGAATAGGACTACTGGTAGGAACTCTTGGTGAATGGCGTGATGGAGTATGAGGGAGAGGAGGGTTGGGTGGTGACGGTCTGATCCCTACATAATAAATGAATGTAATACATTCAATGACTCAGTGACATCTCTTAGTACATGTACACAATAGGGCCTCCCCTAAAGCATATACTGTACATGTAACTGCACTACATGCATCAGTGAGCTACATACATGTACATGTAGAAAAGCCTTTTTTTGAAGAAAAATATTTTTAATGGCATTAACTCGAAAAATATTTTTAATGGCATTAACTCGAAAAATATTTGCCAGAATCAGCTCAAACTTTCCACACAGCATAAGGGCATCAATATGTATCAGAAAATGTAATAAAAATTGGATGTGATTTCGGAGCCATTTTTCTGAAAAAAACCATGGGCTATAGCCTTGGGTATTTTTCAAAAATTGGTTAATTTTTAAAAATGACCATAACTCGAAAATACATGTACATGTATTTGTCGGAATCAGCTCAAACTTCCCACACAGCATATGGGCATCAATATGTATCAGAAAATGTATTAAAAATTGGAAGTAACTTCGGAGCCATTTTTCTGAAAAAACTATGGGCTATTATAGCCTTGGGTATTTTCAAAAATTGGCTCATTTTTTTAAAATGGTCATAACTCAAAAAATATTTGTCGAAAACTTTCTACACAGCATAAAGACATCAATATGTATTAGAAAATGCAATAAAAATTGGAGGTAATTTTGGACCCATTTTTCTGAAAAAACCATGGGCTATAGCCTTGGGTATTTTTCAAAAATTGGGTCATTTTTTTAAAATGGTCATAACTTGAAAAATATCTGTCAAAAACAGCTCAAACTTTCTACACAGCATAAGGGCATCAATATGTATCAGAAAATGTAATAAAAATTAAGGGTGATTTCGGAGCCATTTTTCCAAAAAACCACGGGCTATATAGCTATAGCCTTGGGTATTTTTCAAAAATTGGCTCATTTTTTTTAAATGGTCATAACTCAAAAAATATTTGTCGAAAACAGCTCAAACTTTCTACACAGCATAAGGGCATCAATATGTATCAGAAAATGTAATAAAAATTGGAGGTGATTTCAGAGCCATTTTTCCGAAAAAACCATGGGCTATAGCCTTGGGTATTTTTCAAAAATTGGCTCATTTTAAAAAATGGTCATAACTTGAAAAATATTTGTCGAAAACAGCTCAAACTTTCTACACAGCATAAGGGCATCAATATGTATCAGAAAATGTAATAAAAATTGGAGGTGATTTCAAAGCCATTTTTTTGAAAAAAAACATGGGCTATAGTCTTTGGGTATTTTTCAAAAATTGGGTAATTTTTAAAAATGGTCATAACTTGAAAAATATTTGTCAAAAACAGCTCAAACTTTCTACACAGCATAAGGGCATCAATATGTATCAGAAAATGTATTAAAAATTGGAGGTGATTTCAGAGCCATTTTTCCGAAAAAACCATGGGCTATAGTCTTTGAAAATGGTCATACATGTACATGTAGCTTTACAGTTATTTGTCTGAAACAGTTCAAACTTTCTACATACATGTACATGTACACTGTACATGTAGCATAAGGACATACATGTACAGTACATGTACATGTACAGTACATGTACATGTACATGTACATGTACATGTACATGTACATGTACATGTACATGTAATCAGGAAATAAGGTACATGTACATGTCCTTACATTAATGTAGTATCCATAAACATCTTTGACAATGAGATAATGGAGTATCTCCCCATCTGGTGCCACCAGGGATATAGCATGGCAGCCAGGATTGCTGGAGCTATCTCTTACCATAAAACTACCACTAGGCTGATCCTTTAGTATCTCCATTATAAGCTCCCTAAAAAAATACACTATTATTATACATGTACTGTACATTAATATGACTAGAAAATTCCCAATACTATTGTACAATGTACATGTACATGTACTACATGTACATGTACACTGTACATGTATATTTATTTGTTGCACATGGACTTAACACTACATTTCTTGTTTTATCTAACATGTACAGGTATGGACGGATTCAAATTTGGCGAATTTGGTATTCTAATAGCCATTTGCCAAAATAAAAATCCACCATTTTGAGCCATCATACACATGCTCAATGGCACATGGCCACAAATTCGCCAAATTAAAATTCGCTAATCATCAAAATTTAGCAATTCACCAAATTTTAGTCCCTCCAAAATTTCCCACTATACGGTACTACATTTCTTGCGTTTTATCTAGCAAGTATTACATACATGTACATGTACATGTACATTACATGTATAATATGCATTGTTGGTTTGTTTAGTACTATTAGTATTATCATTTAAAAAAACAGTAACTATTCTTGTACAATGTGTTACTCAATGTTTCACACTCCTCATACTTCAGCCCCCATACCTTGGTAACCCAGCCTGGTACCAAACTGCATCCTTCAGTTCTAACTCCTGATCCTCATAAGCAGCACTAACTGGTCTTCCAGCACCACCAGGTCCCATTCCTCCTTGAAGGTCAGAGTAAGCAGGTGGTAGCAATAGCTCGTGAGTGGGTGGTTGAGGCTGACTGGCTCCTCCCAGTTCGTTATAAGATGGTGGGCGGTCTTGATTGGAAGTGTCTCCTTCAATTTGTAGCAGTGAGTCCAACTGGTTACGTTTAACCTACACAAAGTACAAAATTAATGCATGTACATGTACATGTACATACAGTAGAGAATTAATACATGTACACATGTATACTTACATTAAATACGTTTACAAATGTACATGTACATGTACATTACTTAATGAGTAAAACTGTGTCCATCCAACTGCAATTTTAAAGTCAATTACTGTACATGTACAAATTTATGTCAATTTTTGTTTTTTATAATGTTCAATAACCATCTTTTGTCTACAAAATTTGCCTCATGTACAAAGCATTTCCGACAAATCATTATTATTGTTATTGTTGTTGTTATTATAACTATTATTATTATGAATAATAAAATAATTACATTAATTGTTAAATTTATACTGTTTACTGTTTACATTAAAAGTTTGTTATTCATATAATTAGTACATGTACATGTACCTGTACATGTACATGTACATGTACATGTACAGTACATGGGAAGGTTTACTAAACTACAAGTACACAAATACTGTATACTATTATGTTCTATTATTTTTCTATCTATTTTTAACTCAGACACTCATACATGTAACATGCATTATGTATACTGTATATGTATTTTTGTAAATAGTTTAATGGTAAAAACATACAGTAAAAAAAACATGTACCTGTACCTGTACATGTACATGTATATCTAATGGACAAGAATTGATTGTTTTCTTACGTGTAGCTGATCCTCAAGTGCTGAGAGTTTGATTGTTATTTCAAGAGCTTTGTCATCATTAGGAGGTAGAGAGAGGAGCTTCATTTCAAGATCAGCCACTCTCTGCTCCAGTGACACTATCTCTGCCTCTAGACCAACTGAAGTCACACCTACATGTGTACATAATAATAATATAATAATAATGATAATAATAATAATAATAATAATAATAATGATAATGATAATAATAATAATAATAATAATAATAATAATAATAATGATAATGATAATAATAATAATAATAATAATAGCAATCTACTATAACAATAATAATAAGATAATGTCTATAATAACAACAGATATGCACTATACATGTAGGTTAGCACAAATAAGCTCTCTTGGATGGGAGGGTCATACCTGTCTATTTTTAACTCAGACACACATAAATGTGTATTTGGCGTTTTGATAGCAATTTGCCAAAATAAAAATCTGCCATTTTGAGCCATTATACACATGCTCAATGGCACGTGGCCACAAATTCACCAAATTAAAACCCGCCAATCACACGAAATTTAGCAATTCACTAAATTTTACTCCCTCCAAAATTTCCCGCTATAAGGAATGCATTACTACATCTTTAAAATATCTGAATAAACAGAAAGAAACATCAACTCACGTACATGTACAGGATATAAAAATCACATAACTTTACTCTATTTAAAAATAGTATTTCTTTATTCAAATTACATATACGTGCACATATACATGTACATGTGTACATGTATACATGCATGCATGGATACAACATAAGTCAATTTGGCATCAGCACACATTTTAATAGAGTACAGGTGTACACCATCAAAAATGAACTGACCACACAAACACAATTGTACACTACATGCATGGACATGAATAAAAATAAACAATAATTGAGTTGATCAGTGCATGCTACATGTACATGTACATGTACATACAATGTCCGCCCAATTACAATGTACATGTACAGTACATGTACATGTACATGTACATGTACACATGTATATCCAACCATAGCAAGAATAATAATGAACAGTGTACACTGTGCAAGTTAAGTTTGTTAACATGGGTCCTTGATTTATAATCACACATCAAATTGCCTCTGTACATGTGTGTACATGTACATGTACATGTACATGTAACAGTTAGGCCTGTGCTAATCACTGCTGATGCTAATTCATCATTATAAAGGATATGAGCTTATATCC